GGCAGGGCACCCAGGCTCCATCAGAGCACACAGACTGGGATGGAATTCCTGCTGGCCCAGAAAGTGGGTGAGAGTGAGGGATGGCCACATCTCCATTCACCAAGAGGGTGTGGGGTATAAGAGTAACAAGGGGAATGTTGCACTTTTCCAGTCATCTGGGTCTGGATGGTTCTTGGGGTTCCTGGCAAGTGGGACTTGTTCTTAAATCTCTGGAATCTGGGAGAATGCTGTCACTTTAAATATCCAAAATGGTCAAGCCACTCGTAAACATTCAAAATGGCTGTGCCCTCCAGACAGAGAAAAGTCCACAGCTCAGCCCACCATCCTCTTCGCTGCTTCCCCTTTAATTCCCCAGCCACCAGAGCAGTTGTCTGTGCAGTCCCTGGCTAGTGGGGCCGATTTTTAGGTTAATTCTTAGGTCCTACCACCACTTAGCAATATCCAAGCTGTTTGTGTCGTCAGGATCACTGCCAGACCACAGCTCCGTATGTCTCCTTTTTTGGTGTTTTCATGCAAGCTCTTCTGCTGGTTGGAGTTTAGTCCACTTCTATACCCTTCCCTTCAAGGCTTAGGGGTCCAGGATTATCTTCTGTATCTGTGTTAATTGGTTCCCCTTTTCTTTGTTGAAGAGGGCCTGTGCAGCCTTTCTGCCTATTCTGCCATCTTACAGGAACTCTGTCCCTAATGTACTTTTTCTGTTCCAGGATCCCATTCTAGTACCACATTGCCTGTAATCATCATGTCTTCTTAGGTTTCTCTTGGCTGTGGCATTTTGACTTAGGTTTTTTATCATGGATAAAAGACCTTAGTGTATCATTTTGCTAAAACCTAAAAAATTTAAACTGAGTAAACAGTTTAGAAGAATGTCGTTGATTTAACCTCTGTGTTCATTTCTCTCCTGTGTTTCAGGCACTCTGTGAATGTTCCCTTCAGACTCCTTATGACAGCTTAAAACTAGGCATGCTGTCTGTCCTTTCTACACTGTCAGGGACCATCGCCATCAAACATTTCTTCAGCCTAGCTCCAGGTAAGGAGAAGAAAGTAGGTAATGTGTGGGTAATGTGCTGATCACTTCATTCATGTTGATCTTTCTAGTTGTTTCCTCTGTAAGGTTTTAAAATCCTTCATCTTTGATCTTAACTCAAGGATATTGCTTTTCTAGATTTGTCCTTTTTTTGAATTACATGTGAGTGAAACAATATTTTTGAGGATTCTTAAAATAGCTGGTTTGCTTTCATATGTCTGACTCAAAGTGCCCTTTGAATTTAAGTACATTTCAAAGGCCAAATGATGGTGAATTTGAAAAGCAAATGTCACATGCTTCCTTTTAGGTGTATATTATCCCCCTGGCAAATGATTAAAATAAACCTTCACCTCAGTTCAGTAATGCTTGCCTAGTTATCTATCCAAGATGATTAACTCAAAAATACCTTCATATTGATGCCCAGTGAGGAGCATGTATATCTAACAGACTTAAAATTAAAGTTTTTTGTTTTTAAATGCAAGTTTTATGGAATATCTGTTACTAAATAACTGACTTGCCCCCGGTCCGTTAATTTGAAATGAATTAAAGAACTATTACACACAATTGTGTTTTTCACACAGCAAATAAACTTACTTTCTGGGCAAAGGAATTCCCTGCCATGTAAGGTTTTATTTTTCCTTTTTTAAAATTTTTATTGTGATTTGGGTGAAAGTTTACAGAGCAAATTCATCTTTCATACAGCAGTTTATACACATTTTGTTTCATGACATTCACTGCAATTCCCCACAATGTAACAGCTCTCTTCTCACTTCTCCCAGTTACCTCTTCACTGTGTCCTTCCCTCCCATGCACTCTAGCCCCTCAACTATCTCCCTGGGCAAACATGATTGATTGCTCCAAGGAGTGTGTTTACCCAATGTAAATGTTCACCACATATACCTGTGTATTGATTGGGTAGAAGTGACAGGAGTTCAGTTCCAGACCTGAAAAGTGGCTAGGGACCATAGTCTCAGGGGTCTCACCACACTCTATCAGACCAGCAAACTTAGTCTTTTTTTTTTTTTTTTTTTAAATGATTCTGAGTTTCATTCCATATTGTTGTTCTACTCTATCTAGGATCTCTTGCCCTCATCCCCTCCTATTAGGTTGACAGTGGTAGCCAGGCACCATTAGTTCTTCTGGTCTCATGTTCGTATCAGCTGAGGACCCTGCTTCTAAGCCCACAGGTCCAACTACTCACTCCCTCTAGGTAGCTCTGCCATGTAAGTTTTGATAGGAGGCTGAAAAGACATGATATTCTATGGCTAAGCTTCCTTCCAGGAGCACTGGTGGCATAGTGCTTAAGGCATCTGACTGCCAACCAGAAGCCTGGTGGTTCACATCCACCAGCCACTCCTCCAAAAGAAGGTTGGGCAATCTACTTCCGTAGTGATACCATCTTGGAAACCCAAGGAGGGGTAGCTGTGAATTGGATCCGACACCACAGCAGTGAGTTTTTGATTAAGCTTCCTTCCAGCTTAGGTGCACATGTGTGGCCTGAACTTGACTGATCATTTCCCATATCACAACTGAGTTGGGATCCAGTGACAAAAACAAATTAGGGACATGGGAGAATCTATCCTGGTAAAATAGCAATGACTACAGCAGCGTCCATTTTCCAGGGTAAATTGTAGCAATAACTACATGTCTGGTACCTGTGACAGCAGTGTAAGCTGTGGCATCAAATAATCAATGACAATTCCATGGACTAATTCCATGGCCTGGTTTGAACTGTGATCCTTGGTTTCTTTATAGCCTTGCCTATTCCAGTCAATTTTCTGAGCTTAGTTTTCCAGTTTCTAGTAATTATGTGAACTACTCTGTCAGTTATATATTGCTACATAACAAATAACCCCAAAACTTAGTGGCTTAAAACCATGTTCATTTTATTTGCTCTTATTTTGGGAGTCAGCAAGTTTGACTGGGCTCAGCTGGGCAGTTCTCCTGGTCTCACATGGGGTCATTCATATGACTGTGGTCACTCTGGAACCATGACCAGGACTGGATGGTCTAAGATAGCCTCACTTACAGACTCGCAATTGAAAGGCTTTCAGCTGAGGCGCTTAGATTCTCTTCCATGTGACTGCAGCAGGCTAGTTAGGGTTTGTTTATACCATGTTCCCAGGGTAGCTGTAGGCAAAAGAACTCAACCCAAACCCACAGCCATCAAGTCAATTCTGACTCATGGTGACCCAGTAGGAAAGATTAGAACTATCTCTTAGGGTTTCCTAGGTTGTAAACTTTGCAGAAGTAGACTTCCACATCTTTTCTCCCTTGCAGTGGCTGATGGATTTGAATTGCTGATCTTTTCAGTTGGCAGCAGAGTGCATAACAGTTATGCCACCAGGGCTTCTTAATGACATGTCCAAAATCACACATTTACGAAGTGCCTGAGCCTAGACTTGGACCCAAGAGTTCTGACCCAGGATTCTTTTTTTATACTAAAGGGGCCTAGGTGCAGGTCAGTTATTTTTTAATTCCAAGGATACTTTATAAACATTGTATCATGTTAAATATTCAGGCACTCTTAAATCTGGATATCTTGTTTCTCTTCCTATTGAGTTGAATTGTAGTTTGTGTATGGGATTAAGCAAAAGCTTAAATAACCAGATGAGATACTGTTGTTGTTATTTGCCATGGAGTTGGACCAGACTCATAGTGACTCTTCCTGGGGTTTCTGAGGTGGTATCACTACAGAAGTAGATTGCCCAACCCTCCTTTTGAGGAGTGGCTCGTGGATTTGAACTGCCAGCTTTCTGGTTAGCAGTCAAATGCTCTAGACACTATGCTACCAGAACTCCTATAATAAAACTAATAATATGTTTAAAAAAACCAAACCAAACTCACTGCTGTGGAGTCAGATCTACTCATAGCGATCCCTCCTTGGTTTCCGAGGCAGTATCACTATGAAAGGAGATTGCCAACCTTCCTTCTGAGGAGTGGCTTGTGGGTTTGAACCGCCAGCCTTCTGGTTAGCAGTCAAATGTCTTAGGCACTACACTACCAGAGCTCCTTGATCAGATAATAATCATAAGAAATAAAAGTTCAAGGATTTTTCAAAGTTAGATATTTCCATAGATAATAGTAAATATTATATCTCCATTGACTAGATTTTTCAATAAAACCAGAACAAAGTTTGTAACATAAATTTAGTGTGCATAAATTATCACTAACAAATGGCTCTTAAACTTGTAAGATGTTCAGTATTACACATACCTAAGAAGAATGCAAATTCCAAGAACAATGCAAGGTACTACTTTTAATCCATCAGATTAACAAAGACTCAGAATTTTAACAACATTCTGATTTGATAAAGGTGTGGGCAAATACTCTTTTCCATCGGTGATAGAAATGTAAATTATTAAACCTCTGCATAGGTCATTTAGGAATACATGTCAAAATTACATCTGATTCAGAAATTCCGCACTAGGAATTAATTTTACTGATACATTTACATACACTTGAGAAATGACATATGTACAAGGTTATTCATAGCATATGTAATAGCAAAATGTTGTACATTAGTAAGGCTTGTAATTGCATAAAATTGTCCTTCAATAGGGGACTCATTACAGAAATTATGATAACAGCACTGCAGTAGAAATCAATGCCATTTATTAAAAGAAATATACTGGCATGGAACTATCTCTGTGATGTCATACTTAAAAATAAAGCAAGGTTCAGAACAGTGTATAAAAAAGGAGAAAGAAATATAACATATACACATCCATATATATGTTTGTATATACAAATTACTGTCTATAGAATGATATGCAAGAAACTGGTAACATTGAGTGGATAAGGGACAGTGGTGGGAGTTAGACTTTTCACTCACCAACGTTTTACCTTTTTCTCCCTTTTGTTGTACATTTGAACCACATGAATTTATCTTAGAAAATCATTTCTAAATAAGTATATTAAACATAGACAGAAAAAGCTGAGACTTTTCATCTAAGCTAGTATTTTTTTGTTGAACTTACAATGAGTAAAATGACCATTCCATCTGTGGTAGTTTTGGTTTATGCTTGTTGTAATTATTAATAGTGTTCCCTTTGACCTCAGAAATACAAAGTATGAGAGACAAGATTGAAGTTGACAGTGAATCATGGAAATATAAGCAGGGCAAAGGAAGATAGGAAGGAGAGATTCTTCTAGAAGTGAAGCTAACTTTACTCTCCTGACAGTTCAACTTGACGTTCACTGCCTTATGACTGAAGAGTTTCTTGACTATAAATCAAAATGGTACATAGACTTACACATTACAAAATTTCTAATGTGATTTTTAAAAGTTCAGTCTACAGCATAGAGCTTAAAGTTATAGCATAAGAGTAGTACATAATTAACAAGTTTTATGACCTTCATGGCAAAATACTTAATATCTTTGGCCCTTGATTTCTTCTATAAAAATAGGGTGTTGAATCACATGGTCCCAAAATCCTTTCCAAGTCTAAAATCATGAACTCTTACATAAAGTTTTTGAAGTACAAATATAAAACATACATGCTACCAATTTGAGACAGAAAAATCAAACCAGGAATTTTTGATTTCTCTTTCTTCTTTTTTTCTCTCAGTGTGATCTAACAGGAAGCCTATGATGGCATCCATTTTAATCAGAATCCATTTTTACTCCCAAGCTACCATTTAGAGTTGTTTTCATTTTTGTACTGTTCCTTAATCAATTTTTAATTAATATTTTTGTGGGGAAGTTTTATATTGATTTTAAATTTCAGTCATTGAAAAAAAATTGGTATGATCTATTCTAAGTACCTTGAAATGGAAAGCAAAATGGGGATGGATGATGATGGTAGAGTAGAAGTAGAAAAAGTTGATAAAGCTTATTGTAAAGATTTTCTCTTGAAAAGGAGAAAAATAAACTCATAATTTTTTTTTTCACCTTTGAAAGTGAATTATAATCTGTATTGATTTTCTGTTTTAGGAAATACGGGTTCTTCTCCTAGATGCTCGGATTTAGTCAGATTAGCCCAAGAGTGCTGTTACCACAATAACAGGGGCATTGCAGCTCATGGAGTCAGAGTCCTAACTAATATAACTGTCTCTTGTCAAGAAAAAGGTAAGTTTGGTTAGGACTGATACTATGAATAAACTTTGGGTTGGAACTTTGGCAGAATTCTTTGTGTATTTGTTCTTTTAATTCCTTATTTTTAGCCTGCATGCTTTGATCTATTAGTTGCCTCCTCCCAGAGTGTTCTTAGAACATGTTTTCTCAAGGCTACTTAATCTTTGTGAAAATTGAAAAAGAAAATAAGGATTTGGGGATCGGGATCGTGGGATTGAAAAGCTTTGTGGAGCATTGCCCATTCTTTCCCACTGCTTACCTGTGCTTGTGTCATATTGTTCATAGAGATTGTTACAACTATACCACATGGTGTAAGACAGTCTGTTCACTTCTACGGAACTCTAGAACATTTTGGAAAAAATAAGTTATCAGGGTGCTCGAATAGTTACACCAAGAGGCAAGTGAATTAACAGCAATATGAGTTAAATTTGCACAGAATTTATCTCTAGGTATCTGTAAACATTAAAATGATTTGCACAATTAACGAGGAAGTACAAAGAAAATAATATGTGTATTTTATTGAGTTCCTAGTGTCTTTGACCATAAGTCTTGAAAAGCTCATATAGGTGTTCAGAAACAGGAAATGCCCTTTGGACAGTCCATCTGTTTCCATGCTCATTTTGATCTTTATGAAGGATCATAAATAAGCTCAGCACTTCCTCTTACCTGCTAGCCTTTAGCACTGCTAGTTCCTGGAACCTGTTGCTTTTCTAGCACCGTAACTTTCACTAGTCTTTACAATGTCTCCAAGCCCCTGTACTAACTCAGGAGACATATCTTAAAGTTATATATTGACTCTAATTTAAATAAACTTATTTTTGATGTAATAATAAGTTTTCTACGTGTAACAGAAAACTGCTATCATGTATTCAGAGCTGATAAATACTATCTTAAATACAATTAACTAATGTAGTCCAAAGTAGCTCTGGTAGCATAGTGCCTAAAGCATTTGACTGCTAACCAGAAGGCTGGCAGTTCAAACCCACCAGCCACTCCTCGGAAGGAAGATTGGGCAATGTACTTCCATAGTGATACCACCTCGGAAACCCAAGGAGGGCTCAGTATGAGTCAGATTTGACTTGACAGCAGTTGAGTTTGAATGTAGTCCAAACTTACTGAAGCCTTTAGAGAAATTTTAGCTCTAAGGTAGTGAGAAGATTCTATAGTACTGCTGCACATGAGACCTCTCTAGGGTTCCTTCTATCTGGTCAGACTTAAGCACTAATGAGATTGTGTAGGGTCTTCATTAACTCCTAGAAGTGGTTCAGTTTTCATTAGAAGCTGGAAATCTTTACTCCCTAGGTAAAAATGAACTTGCATCATTCATATCTCCTCAGGAAGATTAACACATGCTGAATCAAGTGTTGTTCCTAGTATTTTTCCTTAGCTAAATTTGTCAGCCCCAGGGTTACACGTGAGGAGAGACAACTCAGGGATGCCCGAAGTAGCAAGCAAGAAGAGCAGGAGAAAGGGGATTAAAAGCCAGGAAGCCAGAGAGAAGAACAGTCAGCCAAAGGGATTAGGTGAGGAGAGGCAACTCAAGCTTGCCCAGAGTAGCAGGCTGGAAGAGCAGGAAAAAGGGGATAAAAAGCCAGGAACCCAGACAGAGGAGCAGTCAGCCCCAGGGACAACTCAGAGACGCACGAAACAGCAGGACAGAAGAGCAGGAGAAAGGGAATTAAAAGCCAGGAAGCCAGACAGTGGTACAGTCAGCCACAAGGACCCAGCTGGGGGTGATACGAGAGGTCTCCAACAGCAAGACAAACTTGTCTGTCGGTTTGTCCTACTGTAGTGACATGTAGATTTGAGTTTTGAGGCTGAGCCTCTGGTGTTTAAAACCCAGCGAGATGCACCTGGT